TGAATTAGTTAAATTTACCCATAATTTTTATTTAATTGGCAATTATTTCAAAGAAATATAAGCTTGTAAAAATGAAAGAAGAAATTGTGATATTAGTATAAAATATTTTGTACGAATTATCATCAATTACAATACATCTTAGGAAAGGTTCGTTTGATTATGTTTTTTTTTTTAAATGAGAAATTAATGAAACCGGTTACTTTTGCTACCAAATCAAAATTTGGAGCAAAATTATTTTGTCATATTGCCATATTTGAGCATTCATAATCGTTGAATTTGCAAATTTGTTAAAAATCATTCCCTAAAAAATAATTTCAAAACAATGGAACTTAAATTGTTGTTATTTAATTAAGTGTAATAAATGCATTTTCTGCCTTTTTTCTACAAATATTTATAAAAATTATTACATTTTGACATTACAAATGTCGTAGACTTTTATTTCCATTCAATAATTTTATTTACAAATGATATATTTGAAGGGTATGAATTATTCCAAGAAAATTTAGAAGGATAAAAACGGTTCTAATAGCTGCTAATATCATATGTTCGTATCATACCGAAAGCTCTTCAATATCGGTTTAATGATGAAAGAGCGGAAATAATGTTGAGAAATTAGTTAACAATTTAACTATCGATTTAATTGTAAAAATTTTTTCACTGAAAGTTTCCGTTAGATTTTTGTATAAATTTACAAAAAAATAATTGTAAAGAAATTTTGAAATAATTTTATTAGTTTGCTTATTACATCGTTTTCATTATTATCAACAAGAATAATAAAGATAAACTCTATCAATTGTGCACTGTCAACAACAATAATAAAGATAAACTCTATCAATTGTACACTGTCAACAACAATAATCAAGGTGAACTCTATCAATTGTGCGCTGTCAACAACAATAATCAAGGTGAACTCTATCAATTGTGTGCTGTCAACAACAATAATAAAGGTGAACTCAATGAATTGTACACTGTCAACAACAATAATCAAGGTGAACTCTATCAATTGTACACTGTCAATACGACATCATTTGCAATATTGATGAAGTATTGCAAAGAGTTGTTTGTTAAAAACATATGATTGAAATTTAAAACAAAGTATGAGGAATGCTAGTTTTATTATGCCAACTTTATCTTTTCATTTTATTCCAAAATTTTTTCGTTCTTTTTTTTGAAATATTAAAATTCTTCAAAATTTCATTTTTGATATTGCTAAGGTGATTTTTCTACTCTTCTAATGTATATTTTTTTTGAGAGAAATGCTAGAGATTATTGGTTAAATTTTATTGATTTATTGATAAAAAGTATTTAACAAATTTTACGGCTGGCACTTCCATCTTTCTCCTTTTTTTTATTTGTTACTCATTTCTTTAATCATTTTATCACTTTCAATTTAGAAATTTTCCTATTATGAACAAGCATCAATTTATCATACCATTCAACAACCTTTTATAATAATTAATGAATTATCAGAGAATTTATCATTCAAATATTTCAATTCGTCAAATTTTGTTATTCAAAGAAAATATGCAAATATCCCTTTTTAGGATGATATCGTTTTTTTTTCTTATATAATTTCATAATATTATCAAATATTTTATTTCATTATGTTTTAAAATATCTACACAAAAGAAACTGATATGCACTTGATTAACAATAATGAAATTATCACATAACAGATGTGAAAAGTTAAAAATTACAGAAAGATAATAGGATAATGAAAATAATTCGATTACAAGAATATTCCAATAAGTTCAATGAAATTCCTATATAAGAAATGATAATTATAAATGGAATAGTTTACAACTTATTTCGTAGAAAAAAAAAATTGAAAATTTTGTAGAAAATCTATGGCGCAAAGAGAGGCGGCAATTACTATATGTATTAATTAGTGTAACTTTTTTTTTTTTAGTAAACAATTAATTATTTTATAAATTATTCAATTCCTAAATCTGCAGAAATTTTCGAAGAAAGGCAATTATTTATATGTATTAATGTAATGTAATATTTTCATTCTAAAACAAAACAATAATATATCTTATCAATTTTATCACATAGAAAAGCTGCCTCAAAGAAAAAAAAGAAAATTGCTGCCAGTTGCTGCCAGCAGAACAGTGAATTATAATTCAACAGCTTTAATTTTAGAATATATTATGTGACGAAATGTTCCAAAAAAAATACCCATAAAAGAGATATTTTGTATGAGTGAGAATTTTTGAAAAAAACGGTTGTCATTGAAATGAAATGATGTCGTTGTGAAATTAGAATTCCTATTGCAATCGTCTTTTTACAATACGATATGATACGATGCGATACGATGCGATACGATACGATAATGAACAATATTTTGTAGAATTTCATGCATCAATGCTTTATTTCTTTCTTACAATCTTTCTTTCCTTTATTTCACAAACATTTTATCACACTATTTTTCTAATAAAAAAAACTTTTCTTTTCAAAATTTTAATTACATTTTAAAAAATAATTTAAATAATATGATATTATCAATGATTTGGAAAGAGTTATCTATCAATTATTATCAATAGTAATAAAAAATGTTGAAAATAATTTCTATCGTTTGAATTTGAATAGAAAATAATTTTACCTTTTCACTTCTATTTTTAATTTAACAGAAAATTATCTCTTTTTCTTTTCATCTTCTAAGCTTACGTGTAAGGTAACGTCAAATATGAATTGAAAGAATCAATTGATTAATTAAAAAGAAAAAACAATCATATCAATAATTTAAATAATATGATATTATCAATGATTTGGAAAGAGTTATCTATCAGTTATCATTTATATTATCACTTCTTTCCATTCATTTCTGCTATATGCAATAAAACTAAAATGTTCAAATATAATCTTAATGGCTTAATTATGATAAGATAAAGCAAGGCTTTTATTCTAGTTAATTTTTTAATTCAAAGATATATTAATTGAAATGAAAGATAGAAAAAAATTCTTTGATTACGAGATATGTAAAAGAGAAGAAGAAAAAGAGAGAGAGAGAGAGAAGAGAAAAGGGTGGTAGGAAAAAGAAAATTAACAGAGAGAAAGGAAGAGAAGGAGGGAAAAGGAAGTAATGACTTTTCGATCATAACTTTTTGCATGTGAAAAAAGGGCAGAAGACAGAAAATGATGAGATTACTATTTTTACTTTTATTTCTTTATTTTATCAAAATTTTCAATTTATTTTATTTAAGCATTTTTTCTTTTTATTTAGCCATAATTTACAGTGAATTAACAATAATTCATTCTTTCGTTTTATATCTTTCCGTTTATTTTAATTATTATCGATTGATCTGATTGTTGTTTCTTTCCAGCCTTCAACAATTTAAGTTTGTCATTTCATTAGTATGATATAAATGCAAGAGGAGAAGAAGAATTAATTCATTATAAAACAATTGTAATTAATATTATTAGTAATTCAAACATTTCAACAAATAACTTGTCATTTTTTTTTCGTATAATATTATCGATCTGATTGTCGCTTCCTACCAGCCTTCAACAATTTAAGTTTATCATTTCACTATGAAAATCTAAAAGTATGATATAAATGCAAGAGGAAAAGAAGAATTAATTCATTATAAAACAATTGTAATTTTGTAATTCATTATAAAACAATTGTAACAATTGTAATTAATCACAAAATGTAACAAAATGTAATTTTTTTTCTAATCTTTGAAAAGTTGTAACATGTTCAGTTTTCGGAAGATGACATTCGATGACAGATTCAGAAAGATAGCCATTGGTAATGAATTCATTTACTCAACTGAGCTTGTTACAGACGGTTTTATCGTTGTGAATGACGAAGTATGTGTCGCATAAAAAGAAAATCGATTTCAAGAGAGATTTTAAGTAATTGAGCGAAAAAGAAATGATAATTTTTCAACTTATAGAATCATGCGATTAAACAATGGCCTATTCATTAGAATTAATGACAGCCTAGAATTATAACTCAGAATTATAACACATCATATTATGACAACATATCATAATACGATGACTGTCACACTGAACATTATCGTATCATCACAAAATATCAGAGAGTCCAAATATCATCATGTTATAAATAGTTATCATGATGAATAGTTATCATAAGTTTGATTAATATGGCAATACTGATAGGATAAAGGAGAATAAGTCGATTTCAATATGAACTGCGTAGTCATTATATCACAGTTGCATTAGAATTCGCACTAAAAATACGGACAATTCTAACGATCCTATTGAAATATTACTATCAGCCGATATTCATTTTTTACCTGCTCAATTGCATGAATCAATCACATCGCAACTGAAACCCTAACCTTCTCAAAGGCAAGGAATGTTTCAAGTTATCGGTTTCACTGATCAAATCACTTAATCCGGAAATTAAATTCTAATCGTGAGCTGTACATCTTATCTTTCTCATTCCAATCGTTCATTCGTTTAATTTCTTGCAGATAATTTTTACTTCATCTCAATTTTACATATTATTTTCCCTTTCAAAAATGTTCGTGAACTCAATTTTTGCACGGCTTCATTCGTTCTTTGATAATAAATTGCGTAGTAATGATGTGTACATTCACTGCTCTCTCATAAATGAGAATGATGGAATTCTTTTTATTAACTTTATTATAGCATTATTTTAGATTTAACTAGTAAGTAGGACTTGAGGTAGTATGAATTGTAAGGCTTAGAGAGTTATCTCGGCAAAATAATTGGAATTACTATAATTGGAATTTCGTATTTATGCTGCACTGTGTAAAATTTTTTCGATTTACGATATTTGAAGATATGTTTTTGAAGATTTCATGCAGCATAAATTGTTTCGCAGGTCTAATAACAAAATGGCAGTATTTCAAGTTTAATTGCAAATGCCGATTTCTTGCGTGCTGATTTATAATTCTAGATGAGTAAAGAAATAATTTAAATTTAAATTTGTAGTTAAAGTTGAAATATTTCACTATATATTCACAGCAGTTAATCAACTGATCTTGCAGATTTCAACTAGTGATATGAATGAGGAAATAGGTATTGATTCTTTACCGAACGGCAAGAAAATAAAGAAGAAAGAGCGTGAATTCGATTTTTCACGATATCCCAAACGACGGATTGCTCTGATGTTCATGTATTTTGGTTGGGAATATAATGGACTGGTTGAGCAACGAGAAATTGCAGGAACTGTAAGTTATATTATCCGTTATTGAAATCGTCATTGGGAAAGTAAATTTTGCTAAGCCCATCTTCGTCTGATTATTGTAATTTTATAGGGTGGGGTACGACTAGTTATCAGAATAGGAGTAAACCCTAAAGAATCTTCGGTTTTTCAGTCACTGTTTTTAATTCTTATTTTTCAGTATTTATTCTCCTACGCGCATGCTGATTTCATGTTTAATTTGGCTGTCAGTATTTTTCTTTAGTTTTATTTTCGGAGTCAAAGCTTCCAATTCCTGAAAATGGAAACAAATATTCATAAGTGTTTCCATTTTCAGGAATTATCATAGTAATGTACAAAGGAAAATCAGCGTACTTATACGATGTAGTTTATAGGTTGAAGAAGAAATGAGAAAAGCTTTGTTGAAGACAAAACTTGTCGAAAGTTGGGAAAATTGCAGTTGGAATCGGAGTGGTCGGACCGATAAGGGAGTATCCGCTTTCAAACAGATTGCTTCTGTCATTGTAAGGTTTGTTTCAAAATGTAAATATTTTTTAATAACACAATTTCAAGTACCTACATAGTCACTAGTTATTCCATCCTTCATTAGCAAATCATCCGTTTTTTTTCAATCTTGCATTACTTCCGAAAAAAGATATAATTTGTTCTGCCTGAACCTACTTAATTAATCTGTAGATTTTAAGGTCGAATGAACCGGAAGGAGAAGGCGTTGTTTGGCCTACTATCGCCAATACATCATCCAAAACTGTCATGAAGGGAGAGCTTCAGTATGTAAAAATGTTAAATAGTACATTACCAACTAATATTCGGGTGTTAGCTTGGGCTCCAGTCCCTAATGATTTCAGTGCTAGATATAATTGCACTCAGCGTACTTATACGTATGCTTTTCCCCGAGCCAATTTCGATGTTGAGGTTAATTTTTGAAAAATTTTCATACAATTTTCATACATAAAATCTCGAGTATTTTTTGTCCTTGATTCCGTTTATTTCATACAAGTATGAAGTTTTCGAATATATTTTTCAAAGTTTTCAGCAAAGATTTCTTCTTAGTGTCTTGTTTGTAGGCCATGCGACAAGCTTGTCAATTTCTCGTTGGCGAACATGATTTCCGTAATTTCTGTCGCATCGACATGAACAAGAAAAGAGTAGAAATGAATTATATTCGCACTATCACTTATGCTGATATATTATTTATATTGTATGTATTTAATAATTTTGGGATAAAGGAGGAAATGTTTAAAGAGTGATGATTTAAGGCACTGTTTTTTTGATCAATTTGATATCGTATACAGAATGTAACACATATTCAGCTGTTCATTTTTTTCGGTATTTTCAGTTTTTAGCATTAAGAGCAGTGTCACTTATTGTTTCAAGTAGCTTAACCATTGATTACTTTCAGTACCAGTTATTTACAACGACAGATTTGAAATTACGAATTTTTTTTTTAGAAATAATTCAATGTTATCACCAAAAGTAAGCGATGAAACTACTCATTATGAATTTCTACAACTTACTATCAGAGGAAGCGGTTTCCTATGGCATCAGATTCGTTGTATAGTGGCTCTGCTATGTGAAATTGGCCACGGTAATGAAAAACCAGAGGTAAGTTCTGGTATTATTTTAAAAGAAATGATGATGATGGAAATGATAACGTTTAGTCATCATTTCCATCATCATCATCATTGCTTTTAATCATTTATGAAAACTGTATCCTTTCTCTTAATTAAAATTGTTCACGTATTAGTGATAAGTTAAGCAATTATGCAGAAATTTTGTGTCTTTCTCATCTCTATTTAAGATTATCACTGAACTTCTCGATATCAGGCTTACACCTTCTAAACCAATTTATGGATTAGCTCCGGCATTTCCGTTATGCTTGTTTGATTGCGTGTATGATGGGATGGAACTTTCTTGGAGATGGGATATTAATTCTTTGAAATCTATCAGAAAACTTCTCCTGAAAACTTGGGCTCATTATCAGTCTTTGTAAGTTTTGATTCCGCTTTTTTATTTTCCTATTTTTTCCTTAAAATGTTATATAAAACAAAAAAATCAGATGAAAGTTTTGCGGCAAAAAAATGTCAAAAACCTTTTCTTGTATGTTACATTATATATTTGATACCATCAAGCATTTAATAGTTACAGAGGCTATACAAGAATGTTGAAATATAAACTTTCAAAAATCGATTTCTTTCGCTTATGAAGTTGAAGAAAATTGATATATTTCTGAGAAAAACATGCTTCATAAACGTTGTTGAGATACTTCCAGGCTGAAATAATTTCAGATCAACCACATTGCAAATTATGGCTGAAGGGATTGGTGTCCTTGCACCAGTGTTACAGAATGATTACAGCGGCCTAAATGACTATCTAAGGTCAAGTGGAACTTACACCAAAACGTATGTACCCATCAAAAAGCGACCTACGTGTGATGCCTTGGAGTTGAAGCGGGAGAAAATGCGTGCAAAAATGTAAAAATCGTTACTGATGCCTCCGGTAATTGTGTTATGTCGTGATGCTAATAATTATTAAGTCATTTGTGGTATCATTGTCTTTCGTGTGTTGATGCATTAATAATGAACCGGAATGATTGTTGATTCTGATATAGATTGTTTTTTATGTGTTGACAGCATCTGTTTACAGACACTCTGCATTTTCAGTATTCCTTCTTTTTAATAAGTTTTAAGTTGATTTTATTTCTGATGTTAAAATATGCAGTTCATGTATTCCAAAATTTTTCATTTCCAAGTCTGCTTTAGTGTTACATAGACCAAACTACTACTAAAATTAATCCTCGGTTTTGAAGAAGTGGTTGCAAGATGAATTCTTCTTGCGTTACGTTATTTCATGGAAATTCTTTTAATGCTTATAAATTTTTCATTTTGATAAAATGTACAGGAATTTCGAATTGCTTGGTAAAGTGCGTTTCAAGGGTTTCGATTCCAGTTGGTATTTTGAAATTACAGATTTTACGTTTAACTCTTCTTTTCGTAGTACATCAGTTGTTTGTAATGCACCTGTGTTTCATTCAATAAGTTGCAGCTTGGTCGATGCTATAATTATATATGTCCGAAAGTTTAGAAGTCCAGGTATGTGGAAATCTGCTTTAATTTAAAAGTGATCATGTCGCTAATGACATATTTCGCTCTTCTATATTTAAGTAGTTAGATGAATTTTCGGCTCTCGAAATTTATCGTAACATCCTTTCATGTCATAATTGTGTTTCACGAGCCTCAAATGTTTAAGGTAATTTACTTGCTCGCAATATATGACTTCTTCGAGAAGCTTTATTAATTTGATGAATATTATACTGAGATTGTGCATGTTACTTTTGCAAATTAATTTTGAACCAAGATTAACCTCAGTGTTCATGATTTTTTTGTACTCCGCTTTTCTTTAAACAGAAAAATAATCCTTAATTTCAGCGATATCGGGATGATCCAGCATGGGATGATGTTCATCCTATACCACTCACAGATGACGAACAAGCAGCCGTTCGAATTGAAACCACTGATGCTTTTAACGATGCATTCATGTATCTGCGAGCTGTTGTACTCAGCGAAGAGATGTCAGAGAGGGCTTTTAATCTGACTGTGAAGTCAGTTTATTTTGTGATTACACATAGATTGGAAATAATATTAATTGCAGTAATTGGTGTGCAGTTATTTACTAATTTTGTTTGGAATATTTGATATTCATAGAAATGTAGGCTATAAATATTTACAGTTCATAGAGATGTAATAATCTAATAAAAAATGGTATAATTTGATACATCAGCTACCAGTTTTCCGTCTTTATAAATCACTGCATTGCCTTAACGCGCTGAAAAATTCCTGCTTGTTTATCATCTTTAATGATATGTTGGATTATTCAGAAGCTGAGAAGTAGTGAATTTATTTGAATAGTTAATTGATATTTAAAAATATTTTGTTATCATTTTATCAAGATTTGTTCAAATAATTTTGCAGGTGTATTGATTTAAATCCTGCTAACTACACTCTTTGGCAGTATCGCCGTTCTCTTCTCAAGGCACTGAATAAAGATCTGAATGAGGAATTCAATTTCATAGCTGAGGTGATTGAAGAAAATCCTAAGAACTATCAAGGTTCGTGGTGTTCTTGAACTCCATAACACGGTATCTTATCAAGGCAGAGAGAGCTGTCTAAAGAAGAAAATGGGCCGAAGTCATGTATGCATGATTGTTTAATATTTTCATTTTTGATGCCACGATTTTTAGCTTTGTATTATGTCTGGATACATATAATTGATATTATTAAGTTTGGCATCATCGTCGAACATTAGTGGAATGGACAAATGATGCCAGTCGAGAGCTTGATTTCACGGCCCGAATGATTGAGGATGAAACCAAAAATTACCATTCATGGCAGCACCGTCAATGGGTCATAGAAAAATTCAAATTGTTCAGTCAACAGGAATTGGATTACAGTGCAGGACTTTTGATCGAGGATATGCGTAATAATTCAGCTTGGAACTATCGATACTTTATACTTCAAGGATTGGATGCATTAAAGGTTATTAATTTAAAATTGTTATCCAAATTTTTTCTTTTGGACTTACCGATAGAACTGCCTAACTTCCTGTTATTATTTGTTGCATTTAGTGCTTTCAAAGAAGAAAAAAATTGTTTTCCACTATCATCTTTACACTCCAAATGATTCACTTCAGTTAAATGTTAATTTTTTTTCCTCTTTTTAAGGATCCCAGTGTTTTAAATCGGGAAATTTTAATGACTCAGTCTATGATCAAAAAAGTTCCGAGCAATGAAAGTGCATGGAATTTCTTATCTGGAATATTACTGGATGTATGTTTTTATTTTAATCAATATTTTAAAATTGCTTACTTGTATGCTAAGTTGTCAGTGTGCGCACATTCATTTTAGCTTCCCATATTGAGATGCTTCAAGCAAGAAAAAATTATTGTTTTTCACTATTCAATACGTCTTTATTTTTTATTTTGGAAATTGCTTCTTTTTTAAAAAAAGATGAACTTCGTAAATTAAAGCCAATGTTTGTTCACAAACACTTCCGACTAATGTCTGTCACTAAGAGTTTAATTCTGACGAAGTTTTGCAAAACTCAAGCGTAAGTAGTTAACCAAAAATAGAAACACCTCTAATATGTGATCCAAATAAAATAATCTTGAAATGTCGCAAATATCCTAATCACTGGTGATCTAAAATTTCAGAAAGGAATCTCTTCGCGAGCGGATGTAATGCAATTTTGTCTTGAACTAAGCGAACAGAAACGTGTGCCGCTTTGTCTTAGTTTTTTGGTGGATATATTAATCGAAAGGATCGAGAAGAAAATGGAAGTTAAAGTAAATTTTGATTTGGATGGATATTCTAAATCCGAATTGAAATTTCAATGCTTATGTTGAAAATATTATGGTATTGCATCTAAATCGTAGCGTGAGTGATAGAGGGATGTCTTGAATGGATGAAAAAATAAATAAGTTTTTAATTTTTAGGACAGTGCTGCACAGGCAGTGCAAGTACTCCAAGAATTAAAAGAGCTGGATCCGGTACGAAAAAAGTATTGGGATTATAACGAGAAATTTGTCAATAATCTTATCGAATCGAATTAGTTTTTCATGATTTTCTGAACATATCTTCTGATATTTCTTCATATGAAACTTTAGCATGTTTGTTGATTATCATATCCTATTGTTCTATTTAGTTCGTTGCTAAGCAGTTAATATTATTATTATGTTTTCTTTCTGAGTGAGAATAAGTCTTCATGTAATAATGCTGGATGGGTATTTTAATAAGTACACAGTAAACAAAAAAAGAGGGATATTGTTTAAGAACATGAGATAAGCAGAAACTTTTGTTATTTGTCATGACATGGATATTTATGCTTCTTTTTCAATCTGTGTAAAATTTTTTCTATACAGCTCTGATTTTATAGTCTACAATATGCAGCAAGCATATACTTTATGATAGGAAAAATTTTTGATATTGGCGATATCACGATGTTCTGCGATATAAATAATTTAGACTTTTAATAATTTAAACTTTTTACGTCGTAATTTTATTTATCAAGATATTAGATTTTCTATCTTTTTCATTTTTCATGTCTTTCAAATTCGAGTAAGGAGTCATTTCATTTTCAAAAGTTACATGATATTTCGAGCGTTAAAATTGAAACTTATTTGTAGATTCTGATTTTGCTGATTAAAATAGAATCAAAAATTAATGGATTGAATAAAAATTCCTTATATGTTCTGTCTTTTATGATATTGTTCTCTTAACAGAGTATATAATATGTGGAATAAAAAGAATGCGTTGCACCAAAATTTTGGTCTGCATCGGCTTCTCCTCGACAAATTAATTTCCAAGGTGAGGTGGAAGATTCATAAATTCAAGATGTTTTATTGTTTTATTTTGACTCTCAGTTTTTCAGAGCCATTTTAATCGTTATGTCGCAGAGAGGATTGCTTTTACTTGGATATCCCGCAAGCACGATTGACTGTGAAAGTAATTTGTTTTTCTTTGTAGTCCGTATGTTAATAATTAGAGTATTTCGAACATCTTGGGAAGATATGTAGTAAAATTCTATAATATGTTGCAGACTCTGAACAATTGCAAGAATTAGTGCTGTTTCTGGAACATCAGCATATCAGATTATACAAAATTGAGGACAGAATTGGGTTGCAATCATCAGATATTGAAGTATGGAAGAAATCTTATGCAAAGGTATTTTTATTTTTTTAGTGCAGATTGTTTGTAAATTTAAGCGTTGAATTGAAATTGTTGGTTAATGTTTAGGTCCATACCAATCACTGTTACCTGCAGTTTTTGATGAAACTTTAGTTTGCAGGTCTCGCCGCATATTTCTCTACATTCTGAATTATGAAAAATGCAACATAACATTTCGTTCTGTGTCGAACGTTTTACTCTTTCACATTGATGGGGCCGTATAACCAAATCAAAATCGAAATTTTACTCGGATTCTGTTTGGAAGTTTTAAAATAATTCTCGCCGCTACTTCTCATAATCCTATCACTTTGCTTATTATAGTATTTGGCCGACTTGAAGTGTCCATTTTCCTGTGATAATGATTCAGCTCAAGAAATAGTTGATTGGCTTCTTTTTCGTGCGATAGATTTTTCTTATCAACAAATTGGTAAGTTTTAAACTAACATTATGTTAATAATTGATTAAATAAGGAAAAAACAAGGAGGTTAATTGAACTATTTTATTTTATTCCGTTATTATTGGTGCTATTATTTTCACTCTTCAGACATTTCAGGGTAGGGTTCAGCAACCTTCCTGATTTCAGCTCCGAGTGAAGTTTTAAGGGTTAGTTAGGGTAGCTTTCCCAACTTCCTTTTATTTTGTTAATACTTTAAATTATTTTTTATTGAATTTAACGGTTGGACGAATTCGTCAAAAGATCCATATGTCTTGTGTAACTTATGTTAAACTGACGAATTATTAATTGATTGAACAGTTTTTCTTAATAATCAGATTTTATGTGCCGTTAATATTCTTATAGCTGACGGGAAGGACCTTACCGCAGAGAAATTCTATCAGCTGAAAGCCGAGAAAGAAAAGCGACAAAAAGCAAACGATCCTCTCAGCACTATTGACTGTAAATTTTCTGTAATTTTACAAGCTTATCAGGCATTTCCAAATAAGGATTAGCGAAATATTAAAAAAGTATTAAAATAAATATGTTCTTAATTAAAGTTTTCATATTTTTGTGTTAAATGTCTAACTTTTTACTTCTCATTATCACATATCACAGGGACATCAAAATCATTTATTATGCCATCTGTTCTATTGTGTTAGATATGATGGGATATGATATAATTAAATATGACTTTTTTTTAATTTAAATTTTTTTTGAGTCATCCAATTTTTCCTTTTTATAGTTTCTACAGAAGAAGCTAGAAAAGGTATCGAAGATCTCAGGGTTACTTTGGGAATAGCTGCGCATCCAGATCCCTCAATTGTTCTGAAAGCTTGTTGTAAGGTATGTGTTCTTTTCTACCTTTTCAATTAGTTTGATAAGTAGTATAGTAGAGTAAAGATAAATTTTGGAAATAATGAATTTTTTCATTTCAGTTCATTATGGATAATCTTTCTGATGAAGCAATCCAGGTAGCGAACAAAAAGGCGCTAACGCAGAAGGTAGGGTCCAAGATTTACCAAAGAGATAGGGGACAACGGATCTTTATTTTATCAAATTTTACTAAATTAATCAGTTTATTTGGTTGTTTTACATATTTAATACATATTTAGTGTTTACCAGTGTTTACCATTTAATACATATTTAGTGTTTTCAATTTATTCGCTTATTTGATTTTTGCATTATTATCAGTAGGATCCATGATTTTCAAATGTATCGACTAATAGCTGAATTGTTTCATTTTTAATTTTGCTTCTTTCACAGAAAACAATGCCATTGAGTCTTTGTGATATGGGTATGATATCCAGCAAGAATGGTACTATTGATGCTGCTGTACGAGCTTTAAGATTAATTCATCTGGAGAATTTGCGTGAAGTTCAGACAAAAATTAATGAAGCTATCGTTGCAGTACAGGAATTAACAGCTGATCCAAAGACTGATAAAAGACTTGGTAAAGTCGGACTTTAGTTCGCAATTGTTGTTCCTATTTTTCCACCAATTCTAATCCGTATTTTTTCCAGATTTTGCATATATTCATTTTTTGTTCTTAAAGAAAATACTGTTTTTAAGATTTTTTTACTTCATGCACCGTTTTTTAACATTTTTCACTCTATTTATATTCATTTTGTTTTTTGCATTTTAGCATATTTTCTCCAGTTTGTATGTATATATATATATACATCCAGTTTGAATTGAAGTGATTTTCGAAGTTAAGATATGAAAAGTCACTGTTTATTGTAATAGTATGTGGCATTTCGGCCTGCTTTGTGTTTTATCATTGTACCAAAAATTTATAATAAAGAGCTTTTTCAATTTTTAAATTTCTTCACTGGCAGTTTACACTTTGTATGCACGTTCATTATTTATTTGTTGATTGACTACCTGTTAATTAAAGTTATTATTATTGCCTTTCACTTCCAATTTAAGCTGTTATAACCATTGCAAAGATTTTTTTTTCATTTTAAATTATGTTTTGCTAAAATTCAGGCATCTCTCATAGATTTCCCTAATGACAGTAGTAACGTAAAGTAGCATTTCAAAAAATAATTTAGGATTTCATTAGCTTAAGTGTTAAATTATGCTAGATTCTTATTGATCCTGTAGCCCTAAACTGACTGATGCTCGGTATTATTTCTTTTCGAAGCAGCATATAAAGATTCAGTATGCCTCAGCAACGAAGTTGTTTATTTCGTTGTTTATTTACTACGAAGTTTATAGTTTATATTTATAAATTTTCTATCGAGATGAATCATGCTGTTGAGAGAATGTATTTTGTATTATCTGAGACGATAAATTGTCCAAAATGTCATGAGGCTGTCTTCCACGCGGGATAAGCTAACTTCATGATCTTCAATAACATTAAAATGCTTATGAATATTGCAGATTTGTTACTCCTAGATTTGTACCTTTATTTTGAATCCCTTTTGAATAGTGATTGTGATGTCCACATCTGAAACACGTCAAAAGCCAAATCTACTTATAACTGGTACGCCTGGTACTGGAAAAAGTACTCTTTGTGAAACATTGTCGGAAAAATTAGGTAAGTGTAAATTTTATGAATCGCAATTCTTTTTTTCCTTTTGATGGAATTCCGGAATAAATTCAGTTTATTCTTCGGCCTTGTGTGGAACGAAATTATTAGCAACTGAATAATTGAAAAAAAACAATTTTCCTCATTTTGCTGATAATTTACATCGACAAGTTTCTCTCAGCAGAATTCGAAACTGCCTCTATAGAAATTTAAATTATCAGTGCTAGATGTATGCCTGTTCGTGTTCAGCAACATGTGAGGCAGCATATTTATTTTTTAGCTCTTAAGCAATAAAATTTGAAATTTTAGGTTTTGACTATATCAACTGTGGTAAAGAAATCGTCGAGAATAATTTGTATTCAGAATATGATGAGGAGTTTGACAGTCATGTGCTTGATGAAGATAAATTCTTGGACCACATTGAAGTATGTCCTTTTAACATCTTTCATTGCTTCACATTTGTTCTTTGTATTAATTTTATTTATATGGAATCACCAAAATGATTTCTTCACTTTTCTTAATAAGCGTTTTATTGGCAAATTGATAAAGTGAAGTTTATTGGTAAATAAATAAATTGATACTAGTAAAGTAGCCTTTACCCTAAAAATGGCGCTCGCTGAGATCACTCTCTCTCTTCGAAACATGTCGTTGTAGATTACGATAATCGATAGAGTTCTTTGGAATTCATTTCATTCTTATATTTAGTATCTTGGAAAATATTACTTGCAATAAGTAAAAAGATTGCAATTAGTAAAGAGATTAACACAAGTTTACGAATTGTCACTGTGTTTTTTTCAAACTCTTTTGTAATATGAAAAGCTTATTTTCATTGTCTATGCATTGATTTATTTGCATAAATTTTGTTTTCAACGCTTATATATTGAACACTTCAGTACTGAATTTTCCAGTACTAAACTTTAGGATAGAATGGATTCGGAGAGTGGAGGTTATATAGTGGATTATCATGGTTCTGACTTCTTCCCGGAAAGATGGTTCGATTTTATATTTGTTTTACGATGTAACAATACAATTCTTTACGACCGACTTTCTGCTCGAGGTTATAGCAATAAAAAAATTCAAGAAAATATTGAGTGTGAAATATTCGGATCATTACTAGAAGAAGCTGCAAATTCGTATGATGTTAGTTCTTTTTCAATTTTTTGAAAGAAACTAGATTTAGTTTGTCTTCAAGAATTCGATCAATGATTCAACTCTATTATCCAAGTGACTGCTGTAGAATCATTTTGTCATATTTGAAGATTTCTTTTCTTTTTCATTCTCTTTTGCTTTATTCCATTTTCAGCATATCAGATAACAATATGAATATAAATATTCTATTTAACCTAATTTACTCTAATTATTACTCATTAATTATTGCTCATTCTTTGTTTAGTACATGAATTATTTTTATTCGTAGCTTAATGTTGTTTTCATTACTACGATAAAAGGTAAAAAGATTTTTATAATCCAGGAGGGTTTACCACAATGTGTTGAAATGTGGATTGGAGCTTTTTTTTAAAAGCTACTCATTTTCTTTAAAAAAGAACTATTAAAATATCTTTCTATATTTCTGATCATAATTTCTTTTTAATTTGTTTTTAAAAAGCAGCTTCAAATTCTGCATTTTTTAGGAAAAAATTGTTTATGAATTACAAAACGAGACAGTTGATCAGTTGTCTGATAATTTGGAAAGGATATGCCAGTTAGTTTCGCAATGGAAGAAACAGTGATTCGTGGCGTTTTTTTGTATTTGAATTGCATAATAAATGTTAAAATTTGAATGAAATTTTGTCGAATTTTCCAAGTTTTGCTACATGAATTCCATATTTTGGTGTCTTTTTTCATTTTAAATTTTGTCTTGAGTTTGGTAGTTTCGTGTTCTCGAGTTCAAATTTAACTGTTGTCTAGGATATAATAAGGTGAAAGCTGAAGTAGTACAAGGATAGCTTGCTTGATTGGGAATTTTATTTCATTTGAAGATTAATCTCGAGCTCAAATTAATTTCAGTAGACGAAGAATGTGTAAAATGTGGGAGAGAATACGTTTCGGTGCCAGATGGCGCGTTGCTGAAAGGACGGCACTAGCAATAAGAGGAGTCGATTTAAAAAACGTTAAATCGATTCACTTTTCATTTGATCCGTTCTACCATGATTGTCATTCTTTAAGGTATCCATTTTTTCCGTTTCCTAGAAAAATTTGAAATTTTTAATATTAAATTTAAACAACTGGAACACACATTTATTCTACAAATCCGGATTGCATAATAAATTTCATTTCCAAACTGCCGGAGCGTTTTTTTACAGAAATCATGTGCGAGCGTGAAATAAACTGATATACTTTCCTCTGCTTTAAATGTTACACATATAAATCTAAATATGAGGTTGAAGTTCGGATTTCAGAACATTTTGGTTTCTTATTAGTTCACCGTATGTTCGAAGGACAAATCCTTCGACGAAAATAGACTGCAACATAAGGAATGATCGCCAACCACCGTATTTATGTGCAAATTTAAGTAAGTGCTATAAGCGAAAATATATTTTCAATTGCTTATTTATTTTAGCATCTGTGGAAAGGAAATTCTCTGGACTGAAAAGATATTTTATGTTTTTTAAAGGTGATGGCAAGAAGTTGTTGTTTCGGACAAGTGGTATGCATGTTATGGATCTGGCGATGACGTTTAACAGGTTGCTGGGAAATCCAGAATTTGGTAAAAGCGGTATCAGACCTCTCCCTAAGATTGATTAAATTTAGTTGCTAGAACTTTCAGCATCATTTTTTATATTATTGGTCGTTGAGTTTTACCACGTCTTGAAAAACACTTTCAATTGCTAAAATAGGAAGTCTTTTAAAAAGTGAATTTGAAATATGTGTAACTGAAATGCACTCATCATCCTTGCCTTCTTTTGCATTTTGAAGCATTTTTTAGCTATGATTTATATCCAAAATTTGGAGTTTATTTACAGTTTTTATTCATAGAGTCCATGATATTTCTTAGCGTTATTAAAATTCCGAACTCCTTTTTCTGGATGCAATATGGATACGGCATTTCTCTTTATTTATAATTTAATTTTCAAATTTTTTTAACTTGTATATTTCTACTTTGATATGTTTAAAATCTTGTGAAATGTGATTGATTAAACGCCCTGAAATCTCTGCGATAAAATTTCTGGAATAATGGGTATAGATGAAGGTTTTATTTCTAAAATAGAAGGAATTTGGTAGAAAAAAAAATAACAGGTAATCATCTACTCATTACATATTTCATTATATATTTTATATATTACACGTTTCATTAAAAACTTCAAATATCTTTTCGTCCGAATTTTTATATTTTATACAAAATTATTGACTTTGCTGGGAATCGAATCTGTGTAACTTCAAAGTATAAAGGAGTCATAGAAATTTGCAGATTTATAACTGTAAAGATAATAAGATCGATCATCTAGAGATTTGTAAGAAATCAACAGAGACTAGAAATTTCCTGAATGACATTTAAAGAGATGGAGTATTATGTGAAAGCTCGTGATATACATTATCCAGCAAATCGTAGAATGGAAAATGAAATTGAGAATGATCAGTAAATAAAATAAAATAGAAATGCAGCAATATATTATGGTACAGCATTTTCGTATTTAAATCGAAGTTGCTGCAATTGTTGTTGAACTGTACCGATATCCGGGCTATACTGATGTTGTGCTGATCGTTCCTTGGATTGTTCGACAGTTGTCAAAGATGAATGCCTGAAATGAAATGTTTGAAGCCTAAGTTATTATTACTCATTTGCTATGAGTTGACGATATCATTTAAGTATTACTATATAACTATTTTAATCACCAATACTTGGTAGTATTTAATGAAATTAGTGAAATATGAGGGATAAATTACTCATATTTAGATGATGAATCTGTGACATACTTAAGCTTTCTTATTTCGGTACTACAACTTTTCGTTTTTTACTAACTGAGTCACTACTCATTTCAGTACTTAAATTAATTAATAGTTAATATCAGTATTTAAATATTTCTTTACATATGTGATGTTTGATGACCAAAAAACAAAAACATTTTTTTAATATGACAGTTATTATAGGATGGATTGATATCAGCAATGTTTTCATAATGAAATGGTTGTATAAAATGGCTAAACCAAATCATGAGCTGTTGATCTTTAAACCACTAAAACTGCATTTAAATCATCAGTTACCAACTACTGTAACATCTTTTCCTAAAAAATTTTTTATCCGGATAAGTTAGGCGATTAAATTTGACATGCATTTTCCTTTGTTTGGTGATCATTCATTGGCAATTAAGAAGTGGAAAAATCTCTCGAATGAATTTAATCAATCGTCTATATCTTAAAGTTCATAGGATCTACAACGGTTAGAAGATTAAATAACTTTAGCCTAAGCGGTAAGGATAGAATATTGAAAGATTACTGAAAGAAGAACTATGAAAGTGTTTGCAATCCATAGAGAAAGAAAGAAAAAGAAAACTTTCTATCATAATTTCAAGTTATATCAAAAAATTTAGAAAACATTCGAAGACTAGCAATAGTAGATGTTAACTAAGCAAATAATAAATGTACAAAGATCTCATTTTTAGGGATTCGTAAAATGAAATTATGAAAATTAAATTTGAAATATTAGATAGGCTAATTATGATAATGACACCTTTTTAGTCGTAATCTAATTGATAAATGATGAATGAGAGTCCAATAAATTTCACTACTTTAAATGAAAGTAATAATTTGAAACTTTCATTTAGAATAATGCTAACAGTCATAATATTCTCATTTATCTTTTTCATCTATCCCTCAAATTACTTACTCTTTATTCATTCATAGCAATTTATCATAAAAATATACCATCATTTTTTGGATTAAAATCGGAATAGAATAATTCTAAAATTCCGGTATAAAACTATCTGATAAATTATGTTATAGATAGCACGGCTAAGCTAATCAACCTTCTATTAATTCGTGCTCGACCATCAAAGCCACATCGCAATTCATCGGTAACCCAGGCGATTAATATACGCCAAGCTTTTCCGGCTTCTCTTGTCTTCTTAAAATTATATTTATATATTTAATTATTTCATTCTTCAATTCAACTAATAAAAAAAGACAATAGTTTCAATAGTTGAAGCTTTATTTCCGATAGCTTATAAGATTTTATTTTTTGCTTTATTCAAGTTGAAGAAATGCAATTACTAAATTTAGCACTTCATTTTTTAATATTTTTTAGAGCTTAAATCATTAATTAATTAGGTATAATAAATTAATAAATAAATAAGTAATTGGATGAAATATTTCATGATATACCTATACCTTTAGAACTTAAATCATTAATAAATTAATAAATAAATAAGTAATTCGATGAAATATTTTATGATACACCTACACCTTTAGAGCTTAAATCATTAATTAATTAGGTATAATAAATTAATAGATAAATAAGTAATTGGATGAAATATTTCATGATATACCTATACCTTTAGAACTTAAATCATTAATTAATTAGGTATAATGAATTAATAAGTAATTTCGATGAAATGATATACCTATACCTGTACAATATCTTGCGTACTAAAACATTGCATCGTAATTTCGCCAAGTTTTTCCCAAATATCAGCATTGAATGAGCATAGGATAGCATGAGATTGACCAATTTTTTGAATTTTATTTGACATATTCTCTTCATCATGCACATTAATTACTAATTCATCGAAAAATCTAAAAATTTAAATAATCGAATTTTTTGAATTTTTTCATATTTACCAATTTTTTCTTCCAAAAAATTATTAAATAAAATATTTTTAAGTCACAAAAATTTTAATTATATTAATTAAAAAGAAATTTATTTTGCATTGTTTTTGTTTTTCAACAAATTTTTAAAATAATAATAAATTTTACAAAGAAAATATTTGCAACAATTTCATATCACACAAAATAATTTATTGCTGCTTTTTTGAAGCAATCAGAAAATATCATTAATCTTTTGCAGGAAAGAAAAATCAAAAATTAATATACAAATAAATTATCAGTAATGCATTATATACCCTATTATCAGTTAAAGAGTATCATACCCTATTATCAATTTTATATGTTCATCTAAAGTACCCGAAATTGAATTTTCCGATACACTTTCACGATTAAAAGCATCCAATACTGCTGTTTGACAAAAAATCTGCAAAAATAGATATCAAGCATTAATAAATTTTTTAATAGATCATATAGTTGAAAGAATAATTTCTGCTAATATCAAATTTAAAATTAACTACGTCAACTAATGACATTAAATCTACTTAATTAATTAATTAAAAATGGTCTAAAAAAGAAATCTCTAGGTTAATGCATACCTTTTTAACTTTAGGCATTTCATCTTCCAAATTATTCAGAATTTTTCGTACAACCGTTTGAATGATTGGTCGTAATGATTTCCAAGATGTTAATAATGCTTGTTGCTGTTGTATTGTTAATTTTGATGAAACATCTGAAAGTTTAATTTTCTGATTATATTCAACAAAATTAGGAATAATATTTTTGTTCAACTTAAATATCATTTTAATGTATATTTAATAAATTGTAAACAATAAATTATTAATTGAATGGTTATAAATTAAAATTTAAAATTTTAATTAAAATTGCTAATTAAATTTTTAGAAAACTAGAAATAAATTAAAGAAAATAATGAAAATTAAAACAAACCTAATCTTCTTAATGAACGATTTCTTTCTTTGTGACTTCTACGACTGTTATACATACTTCTTGTAGTACCTGAATTGATAAATGTAACTTATTTAAAATAGACTTAACTATAGCAAAATTGAAATCAATCATTTAATATCAAATTGAATAATTAAATTTTCATTTCAACTTACCCTACCGGAAATAGATTGGACGAAAAAAACATTTCCTGTTTTTGAAGAAAGAGAAAGAGACTGAAAGTTTTTGCTAGGAAAACAGATAAGTGTTTTTTTTGCCAACCGGAAGTATTAGAAAGTCAATCCGGCATAGACACTTAAATTCCATATTCCTTTTCCTTTACTATTTTTGTTTGCAAATTCGTTTCTCTAATATATTTAAATTTTTTAGCGAAATTTTCTTAGAAATGGATATTATAATTTATTTTCAAAATCATTACACAAATATACGTTGTCGTAATTACAGTAAAATTAATGACTTTTAATTTTTATAATTAATAATATAAAATGCTAATTAAAAAAACCTGGTCATAATCAACGATATCATTCTCTGTTATCATATTTGCAATTATAAAAATTCACCTATTGACAGTTAGATTGATAAAATTGATAAAATAATTAATAAATGATAATCATTTTTTACTGAAAATAAAATAATTAAAGAATTTATATATTAAAATATATTTTAAATTAAATATTTTAAAAATTTCCCAATAAAAAAAATGAAACAAACCTTTAGGACAAAGTAATGATTTCGATCTTTTCACACCAATACTCATTGTTCTTTAAAAACAAAAAGCTGGTCATAAATTAAAAATAATTAAACAATAACAAACGTCGCCACAAAAAAGTTATATTAAGTTATATTATTTTAGTTATATTGTTTTAAAATCGGATAGATAAAAGAAAAGCAGATATTCCAAAAATAAAATATTTTTATTTACTTATTCCTTAAAATAAACAAATATGAATGATATAAATAATAGATTTAAATTTTAGAAAAATATAATAAATTTTATTAATTAAAAAAATTTTCTACAAAAACTTTGTACGAAATGAAATGAATTTCCTTCAGTTCACATAATTGTTATAAAATTTAAATTTATAATTATCGGTTAAATGAAATAAATTATTGGTTAAAGAATATTTCAATGTTACAAGTTTCAATGATCGAAAAACAAAAACGTTTAAATTATTGAAACGTATCACAGAAAGCAAAATAAGATATCATTGGATAAATAGTTGTGAAAATTTGCTATTGCAATGAAAATAGAATAGTCTGAAGGAGAGAGGAAAAAGTATCGGTGAAAAATATTTTTGTAAATGTTTAATTTAATTGAATATTTGTGATATGTTTAAAAGGGATATAAATTCATTTCAATTTCACTTCATATATCAATTTCTATTAATTTAGATTAATTTAATTCAATTCATTTCAATTCAAATTTAATTCTATTCGAATTAGAGATCTTTTAAAAATCATTATTCAAAAAATATTCATCAAAAAAAGGAATTATTTTAATAAAGTTAACATTCAGATGGATCTGCCAAAAAAGTCTAAAATATTGCGGAAATTCCTGGAAAGTTGTCTGTTAGCGGAAATTAATGATCAAATTGATGTCGGATGATATCAATGATAATATCACTGGTAATATGAAATGATAGATAAATCGATCAGATAACACTTCCTTAAGAACAATCAATGTGATATATTTGCTTTGTCACAGTTAAATCAAATAGGAAATATCACTAGAAAGAATGTATTAAATGTAATTACTAAAATATTAATTAAATCCTTTTTAAATTTATGAGATTTTCAAATGTTAATAAATAAAATATAATTGAAAGAATACTCTGCAAGTTATAGAAGTTTTTAATCACTGATATTTCATATTTTCGAATTTAGAAAAGAAAATAGTTCCCTGAGAAATTGTTGTAAATGAACTAAAATACGTAAGATAGAAATCTATGAAGATAATAATCTTCTGATCAATCAATAAATTAGCCAGTTATTCTTAATGATAAATGAAAAATATGAGGGAAGCAAAAAGAGTAAAGGTTAATGAAAGTATAATAAAATAGTGAGATAATGAAAGTTTTATAATTTTTAATTTCAACTTTAAATAATAATGATGAATATAGATGAAATGATAGTGAAAAGTTTAAATGATAGTGGCGAACAGAGATGAAATGATAATGAACAGTTTAAATGATAGTAGTGAGCATGGATGAAATGATAACGAACAGTTCAAATGATAGTGATGAATATAGATGAAATGATAATGAGCAGTTCAAATGATAGCGATGAATATAGATGAAATGATAATGAACAGTTGAAATGATAGTGGTGAATATTGATATCTTTAAAATGATCGTTATTGACAGATTAAGGAAAGAAATGATAAATGATAAGAATTTATAGTTTAATTTAACAACAACAAAAAATTCTTGGAAAAAAAATGATTTATAAAAATGAATTTTAAAAATAAGTAATAAAAAGAGAAATTATTGATTTATTCAGGGAATATTATAATTGTTCCATTTTATTTATCACATAAGAAAAGTGTAAACAAAACTCAATTTCATCTTACACCATTTTTCCGCCTTTTCATATTTATGTATTGTGGGGATTAATTATTTTGATTGAAATCACTTAACCATTATGATTGAGAATGACTTAGCCAATTCTGAATGACTTGACCAATTCTAATTGAAATGACTCGGCCAATTCTAATTGAGAATGACTCGGCCAATTCTAATTGAGAATGACTCGGCCAATTCTAATTGAGAATGACTCGGCCAATTCTAATTGAAATGACTTAATCATTCTAATTGAACTAAGCTTGTGGTAATTTTGATTCAGAATACCTACCGTATGAGAGATTCAGGAATCGTTTTCCTTTTTCTTGAGACAAAATTACGGATGAAATATAAAAGGATGGAAACATTGATGTTTTTAGAAGGAAATTTTTGTTGAAAAAAAGAAGTAAAAGTACATTTATATATTATGTTCGATTGACGACGACTGGAATAGAAAAGAAGGGAAGTATCATCAATTCCTTCAATTCATTCCTTTCAATCTTTCTCTCTTTCTCTTTCTCTCTCTCCCTCCCTCTCTCTCTCTCTCTTTCTCTTTATTTAAAAAATAAAATTTCATTAAGAAATGCATATGTACTACTTTTGTTCATCATATTAAGGATCATAAAATGTAAGTAATGAAAAAAGTTGTTGAAAAATAATACTCAATTTTATTAATCTCTATTAAATTACCTTTGCGATACTTTGTTTTATTAACCTCTATTAAATTACCTTTGCGATCTCAATTTTATTAACCTCTATTAAATTACTTTGCGATACTTTGTTTTATTAAAATTTAAATTTTAATGAGTGGAAAAAATGGGAAAAAAACTTTTATCTCTTTGTCTTTAAGAAATAAAATAATTATTGAGGCAATTTAAAGAAATAACAATTCAAATGAATTTAATTTTCAAATTAGTTATAATCCTAAAAAATATATTTAAATAATAAATATTTCAAAAAAAAAAATTTAAATATGGCAATTAAGAAAAATGAAAAAAAATAGTAATGCATAAGATAAGAATGATAAGATAATTGTTTAATGCAAATATTAATGAATTGATAAGAAATTTTTATGATAAGAAATTTTAGAATTATTTAAATTTAATTAGATAATGAATTTAAATAAGTTTGTGAAAAAAAGGAAATGTCAACTATTTGGATGGACATTTCAATCAAAAATAGCATTCTCATATTTCAATTTATAAACAAAAAAATAATTTAAATAATTTTTGTTTTACCTTTACAGAATTTTAATTATTTATGTGACGAAAATGCAATGAAATTACAGATGGGAATCAATTAATTTTAGTATTATCGATCAAATAATTCAATCATTCAATAAATTTAGTTTAATAAAAATTGATAGCAAGAAACAAAACGAATCATTGAAACCGATAAAAGATAAGAAAAAATTGATATTATCATAATAAAATGAAATTCATCAAAATGAAATTGCAATAAATGGAAGTGATAAGGAAAAGATAAAGAAGTGTTGGAAAATGAAACGAAGCATTTTGATAATTTTTTAAAATAAATTTCCATGTTTATTTATAATTTAAAATTTAATGAAAATTGAAGAAGGAAGGAAATCTTTTTATCAGTTATCTTTTTTAACACTTTAAAATTAAATTAAAATTACGAATAAACATAGAAACTGTTGATAAGTTGCAAATGCAAAGAAAGATGTCATAAATTTTAGCTGATAAATATCATAATAGAAGTGAAGGAAGATAAAGAAATGAAATGAAGCATACTTTGATAAATTTGTTATCAATTAAAAATTCAAAAAAAAACAAAGAAAAAATGACCAATTATTTTTGATAAAAGTTTCAGTGATAATTAATTGAATTTAATAAATGTAAATTTATTTTGTTTAAATTACAACAAATGTAAAATATTTCATATATCTATTTGGATAAATTGGAAAAGATCCAAGGAAATTTTGGAGGTAAATTTTTGAGAGGCAAATAATTATCTATAAAACTAAAAAACTTGCTGATTACAAAACTTATATTTGATATTACCTTTCTTAATTGTGAGCATTACAATGGATGGGAGAATTATAGTTAATGATAAAGACAATGGAGATTTAAACAATTAAATCTGGCATCTGTATCTTTTTAAATTGTAAGCATTACAATGGATAGGAGAATTTATAGTTAATGATAAAGACAATGGAGATTTAAATGATTAAATCTGATATTCTGCACCTTCTTTAATTGTAAGCATAACAATTGATAGCAGAATTTATAGTTAATGATAAAGACAATGGAGATTTAAACGATTAAATCTGGCATCTGTATCTTTTTTAATTGTAAGCATTACAATGGATAGGAGAGTTTATAGTTAATGATAAAGACAATGGAGATTTAAATGATTAAATCTGGCATCTGTATCTTTTTTAATTGTAAGCATTACAATAGGTAGGAGAATTTATAGTTAATGATAAAGACAATGGAGATTTAAACGATTAAATCTG